TGGCCGGTCGCGCTGGCCGTTGGCCCTGTTCGGTTGTCTGAAAAGGCAAGCTGAAAAATATCGTTGGTTGAATTGTTGTGAGAGAAAAATATTATTTCTTTACTGAGAAAGTACGGCTCATAAAACATAAACGAACATGACGTTATTCTCTGCAGCAACCACCTGTACCAACAAATTCAAACTGCTGGGGTTAGTCACAGTTCATGAACTCTGCGCTCTACTATAGAAAAGGGAGAGCCGTATATTCTTATAAAGAAAAGGGTATCAAAGATTTCCATTGAGAAATTGTCTAAGTAGGTGATGACAATAGGAAGTTTTGGCAGACTTATGAAGTTGACAAAACTATCATCAAGGAATATGTAGCGTGTGCGTACTTGAAAAGAATATGAGGAAGAGGATCGTCCCTGCATTGGCAAATACTGTAAAAGCGTAAACAATTTACATCTAATTTGCTAGCAGAGCACACAGAATCCACTAGCCTATGACCATATAGAGAGATGACCTGGTGGTCAACATGGGCAAAAAGCCAGCACATAAGTTATATTGGGAATCCACTGCAGCAGCAGCTCAATTTAGCCGGGCCAAATTGGGCCGGCAGTTTTTTTTGAGTGGAACTGGGCCGGCAGCTGTGCCTCGCTACGTCGCAAAAGCCTCTCCCGTCCTGATTCCTTGGGCTGTCAAAGCCAAGCCCACGGGCAGGCCATGCTGGGCTACTCTATCCGGAACGCCTCCGCCAAACGCCCAAATATGTCACCGTTGACTGTCTCCAATAACAGCTACCCAAAATATAGCACCCATTTTATGTTTAGGTATCGCTATAGATAAAGGGTTTAATATTTATTTTTAGTCTTATCCAATAACTAGATGAGTGTCCGTGCATTACAACGGGTGCAACATAAATTGAATGAGATGTTTGTTAGCCAAGTCAAAATCAAGAATATATCAATTCATTATTTTACGTGTATTATATCATGATAATGTCTAGAAACACATTTATTATCGTAATAAAATCTGAAATAAAAGCTAGGCTTGAAGTTTGTTGTCTGAAAGTTACGACAAACATCAGTTGCCTCAAAAGCTGAAAATTTATTTCTAGGCATCGAATTGAATTTATCCATGCTCTGCCTTGCCCAAAACATATATACTCGGACTTACAATATCCTAGCCCGCATGAGGCATGGCAACAATTTATTTTTTGGAAAAAAATATTTGTTTTCAACACACAACGCGAAGGACGATGAACGAGATTTGGATCACGATCATGATCATTGCATGGTGATATTCCAATAAATTTCTTTCTCTTCCCATAATTCTCTCTCTATTTTATTCTATTTTGTTTACTTGCCGTATAGTGTCTCAATGCAGTGATTATTTGCCTGCCGGTGATTCCGTGAGTTTTATTCCATTTTATTTACTCGCCTTCTAGTGTCTCCATGCGATGATTATTTGCCTGTCGGATATGGATCGTATGAGTGTTTTGGTCCCTGACGGGTAGATGTTGACAATCCGTATGTTTTAGTTGTAGAGAAGAGAAGAGATAGAGAGGCAACAATTCATTTTTTTGGGAAAAAAGTATTTGTTGTCAACACGCAACGCGAAGGACGACGAACGAGATTTCGATCACGATCATGATCATTGCATGGTGATATTCCAATAAATTTATTTCTCTTCCCATAATTCTCTTTTCGTTTTATTCTATTTTATTTACTTGCCTTCCAGTGTCTCTATGAGGTGATTATTTATCTGCCGGTGATTCCGTGAGTTTTATTCCATTTTATTTACTTGTCTTCTAGTGTCTCTATGCGATGATTATTTGCTTGCCGGATATGGATCGCATGAGTATTTTGGTCCTGCCGGGTAGATGTTGACAATCCGTATGTTTTAGTTGTAGAGATAAGACTAAAAGAGAACTTTTTATGTAAATGGGTCTCATAGTACTTAAATTTTATATTATGTTAGAGGCTATAGGTAGTATTCTGTCGTAGACCTATTTTGGGTTTTGGTATCCCGTCTCGAGATAGCCAGTAAGGGTGTGATTGAGCCTGTTCACTGGTTGGTTTCTGGGCTAATAAGTCCGGCTGGTACTGGTTTATTATGAAAGGAAAACATTGTTGGATGTCTGATAAGCACTGGCTGAAACCAACAAGCGAACATACTGATTGGTTGCTCCAAGGGGATCCGGGATGGAGGGCCGGTCCTAGACGGAGTGAGACAGGCTGAAACCATACACCTAGGTGTGTTTGGTTGTAACTTTGAGAGTGATACTGGATGACAGTGAGTTTGTTTGGTTGCCTGCTTGCACCAATTTTAGGAATGAGCTGGTTCTCCTTGTGTTTGGTTTGCAGCATGACACGAGGTGTGAGCACCTATATACCACTTTGGTGAGGTTACTACCATTTTCATTCAAACAAGTATAACAACACAAACATTACCTCAGATCAATTTATATCATCATCAACTAAGACCTTAGAGCATAAGAGATATTACAAAATAATACAACAGTCCAACCAGCTATTAAACATCAACAAATCGGTTCCAGTACCTCACAAAGTCCAAGTAAATTGATGAGTACATGGTCATAGGTTAATCACCACTTTAACAATGTAAAAAATGAGCACTAACAACATGAAAAACTGAACCATGCAAAGAAGAAATAGCCAAGATGGTTTAGCAACGACAGTGGCAGCATGCTTTTCAAGAACTTTTTTATCTTCATAAGTGGTTAACAGATTGGCCTCAGATAACAGTTTTTCCTCGGTTGACCTTGAGCTTGGAGCATAAAAAACACAAAAGACAGAGAAACAAATATGAAACCAATAAGAACTAGACTAGAGTTCCAGTACCTCACAAGCTAAAGGTCATCAGGTTTTTGTAATCCAATACACATGGCAGTTTAGTTATCATCATAGGCCTAACAAGAATATCAAAAACAATTACAAAGAAAATAGTTGGAACCGAATGTCAGAAAACCATGAAGCCTTGGGACATATCCATCCCCACAATCAGGCACTCTAACTGAGGAGCAAGCAAAAATTCAGATAGGGATCATGCATTTGCGGCGTACCACATATTTAGATAAAAAAAATAATCGTACCTCAGATCTAGTTAACCGTACCCTAGATCTGAGCGTGGAACCTGAGAAAAACAAGGAACAAGTAGATCAGGAATAGCAGGTCATAGATCTGAGTATGTAAGAACAAAAACCCTAGAATCATGGCACAACTCAAACAAAATCCACACATAAATCAACAAAAGCACCGTATATAGAGGAAGAGGAGAGAGGCGCAGGTGAGGTCTACTGTCGCGGCACCGGAGGACCACCATGAATCCGCCGGTCAAGGTCGACTTCGGCGGTCAACCGAGATCGAGGGGGAGCAAGAGGAAAGACGCACCAAAGCAATGGAGGAAGGAGAGGCGCGAAACGGGGGGCGGTAACCCTAGCCGACACCTGCGCTTGTCGGGACGGGGGCATCTCCCGCGCTCGCCCAAAGCATACGCGCCAAGCATCGAGTCATCCTGCATCGAGAGAGAAGTGGAAATCGAGAAGACGAAAACATGCGGGATGAAGGGGGTAGAGATATGAGACCAAGCAGACGAAAGATGCGAAAAGGAAAATCAAACACGACGCCGAAAAGAGGCCACCCAGCTAAACCGTGCGAGGACGGCCCGCTCCGTCTACCAATCAGCCCCTGAAACCCCGCCGCCGCTCGGTTATCCCCGCCAGATCCCCCAACACCCCTCCCCGATAAACAGCTGTCAGGAAGAGGAAGAATCCGTCCTCCCTATTTCTCACATGTGCTCCATCTCCATCGGTGCTCCGGCCTTTTGATTAAAGAATCCGGCATCAGGGACAAGTCATGCCCGTGTGTGCATCTTCCTCCTCCCTACCCTCCTCAGCAGTCAGCTATGGCCCTCTATCTTCAACCGGACAGCGCCACTCAACCTACCGCCTCTCTGACTCATGTGCTGCCTTCCATGGCTGTATCTATCTGCATGATTATTAGGTGAATCAAGAAGGTAAAACTGTCTCATAAGTCATATCAAGTTCACTTTCTTTACAGACTCAAATGTCGCACGGATCGATTGTGTGGGTAATATGTTCTTTTTTTTTGGCAGCAAACTGTATAGTTGGAGGCGCAAGCAAGAAACAGAGACAGATTCTCATGAATTGGTTGTAGTTTTACAACCTAGATTGCTCCAGTTATTACCATAAACTACCAAAGACTTGCAGCAGCAGGAACATAACAAGAATCCAAACAAACCTGGGTTTGCGAAGCCATGTGATCAGAAAACAACAACAATACAATGAGGATATACTCAGGATCCATTACAATCACTTGTTCTGCATACATCAAGGCTAGAGCCAAACGATCTGGCTTTTAGAAAATACATATACTTCTCTTTGCGCTATCATTTTCCTAGCATGGCCAATTCAGAGTCGCCGTGTGTAAAGCACCCCCCCAAAAACTTCTCTCGGACTCCCGGTGATGGTCATGACTGGCTGGCTACTTTTCTTTACATCCAGAACTATGTAACAAGAGGGCGTCGAACCACGACCTAAACAGAACACTAAAACACGATAACGAGAGAATATTTATGGTTTCGGTACTCGATCTAGTGGCAAAGCAAATCTCAGATCATTCTGCAGAAGGCTTGGTGAGGTTGCTGTGCCGTCTTATTTGGCTGTGTTGTTGTGTACTAGCTCAGGCTCAGGTTGGACTCGGCCCGCACCACCGCTCACTCGCTCGCCTCGTCCCGCCTCCGCGAGCACGCACGCCAAACGGCACGCGCTCCTCCTTCCCCCGCACGCCTTCCGCCTCTCGCCCCGATCAGTGCTCGCCAGCAGCCTGCCAGCCTCGCCTCGGAAGCACACGGTGTTGCCTCAGCTTCACTCACCCACAATCCGCAGGAGGTGCGGCGCGCATAGCAAGGACCTGCAGGCGAACGGGCGGCGCGACGTGAGTCGAGTTCGGGCCGTGCGGCGCCCGTAGCAGGCAGCCATGGAGACGCCGCGCCTCGTAGTCGCGGCGGCGTCGCGGGCCCCACCACCAACTCCTCGGTTCCGGCGGCGGCGCCTCCCGCGTCCGCGCGGCGGGGCGCATTGCTTCCCCTTCGCCCGCGCCACTCGGCCGGTGCTTCTAAGCCGGTGCTCCTACTCCTCCAGGTGCGTGCAAATCCCACACCCAGCACCATTCTGTGCGGCCGTGCTCGCATAATTGCTGCGCGCGCGCGTGCGTGCGTGCGTGTAACTATACTCTGTATGCGTGCCTGTTTCTCAGCTGATTCGGTGCTCCAATTCGTGTCTCAGGGAGGGGAACGGTGATTCTCGCGGTAAGCCCCGCCGCGAGAGCTCCAGTACCGTCCGGTGGGTTCTCGCTATATCTCGATTTTGTTAGCGCTCGAATTGCGGATGATGTTTCTATATGGTGCTGGGAATTTTGTAGGTTGGACGTCGACGCAGATAGTGATCAGGCATGGATGAGATGGCCACAGATCACTTATCTTTTGTTGTTCTGCTTTGCTGATTTAAGAGGCTTATGAGTTTAGGGTAATTGCTGTTTCCAGGTACCAAGTTTGGCTGATGAGGGTGATGTTGGGGAGCTCTTCAGACTGGCTCAACGGAGTAATTACTCTTCCCTTGCTTTACCTAATGTTAATGTTCTGTATCAGACCACACTTAGTACTACAACTGTTAGTTTTCATCATAATGTAGTACACATTTTACTATTGGAACCACTCTTTCAATTTGCTCCGTTCCTTGCTGATAAATAAGTCTTAACATTTGTCTGTTACAGATATCCTGTACATTAACAAGCAGCGGCTTATGGCCATGGAGGAGCTGAAGAAACTGCAGGATGAAAATAATTTGCTTCTCGAGGAAATACAAGTACTAGAAACAGAAATGCAAGGTGCGGTCTCGGTTACCAACATTTTCAGGCTTAGGAACTATATGGACGATAATGTGAAATTTCATCTTCAGCAATCCAATACATGCTGATCGTTGATATGATTGTTTTACTTTCGATTTCTTTTTTTTAAACAATTTACTTTCCATTTCTCATTCTTAACTATAGTCTATAGAGGTAAACTGCACGCACCAAATATTAGAAATGTTGTCATATACCTTTCACTATACTTTTACATATTTCATTTTCTCATGGGACTCCTTTCAGGTATTCCCCTAGAAGCAGCACAATCGTCAAGTTTCAGCGAGTTACTCCTGCGGATAGATACAATGGTCATTTCTGGAATGATCAGCATGGCGGAAGCATCTGATTTAAGAGAGAAAGTTGTCACTAATAGAAGCATAATACAAAGCGCCTTTTCTGATATTCATCATAAACCAAATACTGAATTGCTGTCTGAACTGCGACTCTTTCTGCATAAACCAATAGAGTATGATACCACTTACCTTACTTTCCTCCAGTGTTACCGCCTTTTACTCAAATTTTCTGCAGTGTTACCGGATACCCATGTCCTTTTTTTTTTGCTGCAATGACAACTTCACACATCGAATTGTCTATTGGCACCTGACATGGCCTGGTTCATATCTGATACATTGAGAAAGAATCTTGCTGTCTTTTCTGTCCCTATGCCAAGGCGGTTTGGAGGCAAATTCTTGCATGGGAACACTTCGATACTACTCTAGGACAGCAGCAGGGGGATCCCTTACAGATCATGTCCTGGTGGGACAAGGCTGTTACCGTAGTGCCCCTAACAGAGCGGAGACGCTTCAACGGCATGGTCATATACACCTTTTGGAACCTCTGGAAAGAGAGAAACAGGCGCATATTCAATAACAATTCTGAATCAGTGGTGCAAGTAGCAGCAAGGATCAAAGACGACATTGAGCAAAGGAGAGCATTCAGCTAGAGGGGGTTTAGTGTTTGGAGAGAGCCTATCCTTTTCCTGCTCCCCAGGGCGTGTTAACCCTGGTTTTGCTTGTACATAATCAACTCTTTTTCCCCTCTTAATTGAAAGGCAGAGCTCCTGCCAATTTTTTTTTTTTTTTTTTAAAAAGAATCTTGCTGCAGAGAGCAAGAGGAAGCTCATGTGTGCTATCCATGAGAGGGGAAAAATGGCAGAAGACAAGGATAGGCATGTAGCCATAGAGAGATAATCACTTTAAATGCTGGTTTTGACGGTTGTTCTATGCACAAACTGTAGCTAATCTGGAGCTTTTGCTGTAAATCCCAGGCCTTTTCCTTTGGTAAAGCACACAATGAAATCTTTAGTGTCTTTCTAGTTTGTTTTATAGGAAATAGGATTAATCTTAGATTTTTTTTCCTCGAGCGACGCATGAGAGCTGCGTGTTATTTCATTAAGAAGAGGGATTAATCTTAGATTGTACTTAATATTTGAAGAGCTAAAATGCTATTCTATTTTTTATAAATATATTAGAAGAATTCCTGAATCCTGATTTTCTGAACTTGCTGAGCCAAACACCTGCAACTGTGTCGGATTCTGGTTCCCACACCTGTGTCCTGGTAACACTATTCCTGCCTATCTTGGGCACCTTCTATATCCACCTGAGTGAGCTTAAAGATGCTCACCAACATGGCAACTTGTATATGCTTCCCACTGATGTTTCACCCAGTATAACTGCGACATATTTAATTTGAGTCTTTTGCTATTATAGTTGTTGATGCTATATTTGAGCCTATGTTCAATGCAGGAAACCTCTTCATATTGTGCACATCTGCAGTGAAATGTACCCAATATCATCATGTGGATCATTATCAACCTATGTTGCCAGTTTATCTTGTGAGATTCATAAAAAGGGTAACTTGGTGGAGGTGATACTACCCAAGTATGCAACCTCTCTTCACTAACCAAATCTTTGGTATATAATGCTTGATAGACTGTCTGGACACCTTAGGCTTTTATGTTGTAGTGGTCTGATTAGTCGTATGAATAGGGAAGTTTCTTTTGAGTTGATTTAATGTAAAAAATGTTCAACAATATAAGTATATAACACGCTTCTAGGCTTCCTTTTAGCTATTACTATGTAAGAGTAAAACCCTGAAGTTTAAATATCAATATCCAGACGAGACAATTTTTTGCTCATTCTAGATGGATGCTCTAAACTGGACATTCTTCTGAACTGTGTTTTGATGACAATATCGAGACGAGACAATATCCTGAATTTGATTGTCAACTTTTAGTTTTGATGACAATCTATAGTTCTTAACTATGTTGTTTATTCCATTAAGATAGCATGTCGAGAAAAAAAAATCAAGACAGCTCGTTCCAAATACAACAACAACAACAACAACAACAAAGCCTTTAAGTACCAAACAAGTTGGGGTAGGTTAGAGTTGAAACCCAGCAGAAGCAATCAAGGTTCAGGCACGTGAATAGCTGTTTTCCAAGCACTCCTATCTAAGGCTAAGTCTTTGGGTATATTCCATCCTTTCAAGTCTCCTTTTATTGCCTCTACCCAAGTCAACTTCGGTCTTCCTCTACCTCTCTTCACGTTACTATCCTGGCTTAGGATTCCACTACGCACCGATGCCTCTGGAGGTCTCCGTTGGACATGTCCAAACCATCTCAATCGGTGTTGGACAAGCTTTTCTTCAATTGGTGCTACCCCTAATCTATCACGTATATCATCGTTCCGAACTCGATCCCTTTTTGTATGACCGCAAATCCAACGCAACATACGCATTTCCGCGACACTATCTGTTGAACATGTTGTCTTTTCGTAGGCCAACATTCTGCACCATACAACATAGCAGGTCTAATCGCCGTCCTATAAAACTTGTCTTTTAGCTTCTGTGGTACCCTTTTGTCACATAGGACACCAGATGCTTGGCGCCACTTCATCCACCCTGCTTTGATTCTATGCCTAACATCTTCATCAATATCCCCGTCTCTCTGTAGCATTGATCCTAAATATCGAAAGGTATCCTTCCTAGGCACTACTTGACCTTCCAAACTAATATCTTTCTCCTCCCGAGTAGTAGTGCCGAAGTCACATCTCATATACTCAGTTTTAGTTCTACTGAGTCTAAAACCTTTGGACTCCAAAGTCTCCCGCCATAACTCCAGTTTCTGATTCACTCCTGTCCGGCTTTTATCAACTAGCACTACATCGTCCACGAAAAGTATACACCAAAGGATGTCCCCTTGTATGTCCCTTGTGACCTCATCCATCACTAAGGCAAACAGATAAGGGCTCAAAGCTGACCTTTGATGTAGTCCTATCCTAATCGGGAAGTCATCCGTGTCTCCATCACTTGTTCGAACGCTAGTCACAACATTGTTGTACATGTCCTTAATGAGCCCGACGTACTTCGTTGGGACTTTATGTTTGTCCAAAGCCCATCACATAACATTCCTTGGTATTTTATCATAAGCGTTCTCCAAGTCAATAAAAACCATGTGTAGTTCCTTCTTCTTCTCCCTATACAGCTCGTCCTAAATGATTTGAGTTAATTTGCAAACTGTTTTGAAATAAGTTATGTTTTGCAGTATTGTCATATTGGTATATAGTCCTCAATTTTCTTCTCTTCTTGTTCTTGTTCGTAGGTGTTACATTTGAAATTCATTGTTATCCTTAGTACTATGGATTGTTTTGGCTTGTGCCACATTTACATCTTGCTTATTGCACACAAAGCTATCATGCTCATCGCATTGGTCTGGCACAAAATAGGTACACCAGTATAAACGTGGATGGAATTCATGGTCTAAGGAGAGCTGAGGCAGAGTATGAATCTTATTTTGGTGGTCTTTGGCATAAAAACAAAATATGGACTGGGTAAACATACAATCCTAGTGTGCAAAGAGATGTAACAGGCCCTATTATCTCGTTCTTCTCTTATTTTAGCTGATGCTTCTGTATTTGTGTAGTTCTAGAGGCATTTTACTCCTAATTTTGCTTCTTTTATGCAGTACATCAAGTGGTGTTGGTCTTGTACTTATAGAACCATCTCAGCTCTCCTATTTCAGTCGTGATATGTTACATGGCTACCCTGATGACTTTGAGCGGTATGTAGGAGCATTAGATTTGGGTAGTGACATGACAGGCTTTTATGAATATAACATGCAGAAGAAACTGATGTTGAACTGACTATAGTTTATAGTAACTGTTAATAATGATAGCATTTTAGAATATTATATGTAGCTTTTTGTTGGAAGCGCTGCAAGCGCATGACATACAGATTATTTGTTCTTACTACATCTTTTTTAGATTTTCCTATTTTTCCCGTGCATCCCTGGATTATATTGTAAAATCTGAAAAGCGGCCAGACATTATACACATACATAACTGGGAAACTGCTATAGTGGCACCACTTTTCTGGGATATATTTGCTCACCAGGTCAGTTTTACTAAAGTATACACAATGCTTTCTCAAATTTACTATGCTATTCAATGGTATGATAATGGTTTGTAAAATAGTCTTATATTTATTCTTCATGTTAAATGGATGATAATACCTTCTGACAGGATTTTGTCCTAGTATCACCAATGAATAATATCTCATTCTGGAAACAGAAGAGGAAATATGTGCATCGTATTTTTTTTTCTGAACTGTCACCGGGGAGAGAGCATCCCACCTGAATAGTATTGATTATCATCAACAGCCTCGTTTTTCGGGAACGAGGCAAAAACCCTGTCATCCGGTTAATTTTGGAAAACCGGACTAAAACCAATACAGTAGCCCCAACACAAGGGCTAGATTGTGGCATATCCACTAATAAGAAAACAAAAACACGCCCCAGCACAAGGCGAACTGTGGCACAACCATAGATACACCAAAAAAAGAGAGAAGAAAGAACAACACCACCAAAGCACATAAACTCTTCAACGATGCCTCCAAGGAGGTGAATGACGCCGCAATGTAATCATCGTCAGCCAAGCAGCAAGAGGTGACTCCGCAGGGGCGTGGCAAGGCTTTCGCCCGAGCCTTGTGCCTAGGTGATGAGTGGGTCGATTCAGGAGACGGCAGCAAGAGGTTCTTCAATGACGCCTTCAAGAAGGAGATCCTCGTCACTGGCCCAGAACCTTTGCCAGTGCTCCTGTTGACCCGCACGAAGCGGAGGGAGGCGCGCACCGCCAAGCGTCCATGTTTGGACGGAGGGGGGGGGGGTGCCGGCCGCCGCCACACCGCGCGGAGCCGTTCCCGGACTCGCCTGCGACAGTGGGAGGCGCGCACCGACAAACATCGACGCCTGGACGGAGGGGGCAGGGGGGCTTGCCGGCCGCTGCCACACTGTGCGGAGCCGTTCCCGGACTTGCCCGCGAAAGTGGGAGGCGCGCACCGGCAAGCGATCGCGCCTAGACGGAGAGGGGTTGCCGGCCGTCGCCACACCGCGCGGAGCCATTCCCGGACTCGCCCGCGACGGTTGGAGATGCGCACCGGCTATCATCCTCGCCTAGACGGGGGTGGGGGTGCCGACCGCCAACACACCGCGCAGAGCTGTCGCCGGACTCGCCCGCGATAGTGGGAGGCTTGCAGCTGGCGCCCCGACGCCGCCCCATGCTGTCACCGCCACCGCAGACACAGCACAGGCATGGGCGACGCCACCACTCTGAAGAACCGGCACTCTGCCCTCTCCCCTACAAGAGGCACAGGAGGAGGGCATCCATAGACACACAACCCCGCCACCGGTTCGCCCGCGGCCAAACTGCGCGTACGCACGTGAAGAAGAAGCCGCACCGCTGCTAGGCCACCATCTGTGCCCTGGTCCCCGTGGACAAACAACGGCTCCACCCGGTCCAGGCTTGCGGTCGTCGGATCGGGAGAAGAGGACACTGACAGACTCGCAGCCCCACCTCCGGCAAGCCCGCGGCCAAACTCCGTGCCCAGGGTCCCTGCACACGCACGAGAAGAAGAGCAGCACCGGATCCTGCTGTGAGGCCGCGAATCCGGCGATGGGGGAGCAAGCCGCCGAGCAGACACCTGTGCAGGGAGCTCCCACGCCCGAGAGCACCACACGAGTATCCCGCAGGAGGATGGGGGCGCTCGTGCAGGGGCACCCATGCCCGGGAGGGACACGGCCCAGTCGACGAAGGTCTTGTCGTTGCCGCGGCCGGGTCGAAGCTGAACAGGGACCCCGAGTCGGCGTCGGCCCTGTTAGAATTATTTGCTCCTTTACTGTAATCTCCTAGCTAACTGTGCAGGCGCCAGCTATACTGGCCCTTTCACACTGCTGGCCCCTTGGGCCATCCCCTCTCTCTCCTATATAAGTGTAATCCCTTTTGTAATCTTTTATCAAGGAATATACAAAGCCTAATGGCCTTTGTCTAATATGGTATCAGTCTAATCGTATCCCCTGCTTCCGCTACTTTCTGCCGCCGCCCAGCCCTGACCCGCGCGCGGGCCTCTCCGACCGCCGTGCTCTGACCCGCCAAGGCTCTGGAAGTTGAGGCCGCCTCCCTGCGCGACTCCAACCAAGCGCGCAGCGCCCAACTCAAGGAGGAGGCGGACCTCCTCAAGTCCGCCGCCGCCGCCCAGGAGCGGGTCCGCGCCGCCGCCGCCGCTCTCGACTTGGAGCGCGAGCAGGTTGATCTGCTGGAACAGCAGGCTGCGGACCTCCGCGCGCGGCTCCACCCCGAGCATCACCGCGACGACGACTCGGAGGGCGGCGCCGACTCCATCGCCACGGAAACTGCGGCTGTCGCCCATCTTCATAGCCAGGCGGCCGCTGTGCAGAACATCAAGAACCTCATTCCTATTGTTCTTGATCTGCAAGCCTCAAACTACTCCAAATGGCGCGGTTTCATCCTGCTCATCCTCGGCCGGTTTGCCCTGAAGGACCACGTCCTCAGCGACGCCATCCACCTCCACGATGCGGCATGGTCCCGCATGGACTGTGTTGTCGTCTCATGGATCTTCAACACCATCGCCCCTGACCTTCTCGACGTCGTCCACGAGCGTGACGGCATCACTGCTCGGGCAGCATGGCTCGGCCTCGAGCAGCAATTCTTCAACAACCGTGAATCACGCGCCATGCTCCTCGACGCCGAGTTCCGCACTCTCTGCCAGGGTGCTCTATCTGTGGATGAATACTGTCGCAAGATGAAGCACATGGCGGACGCGCTCGCCGACCTTGGCGAACCCGTCCTGGACCGGACCCTGGTGTTGAATGTGCTGCGCGGCCTCAACGAACGCTTCCAGTTCATGTCGCAGCTCGTCACGCGGCAGAAGCCCTTCCCATCCTTCGCCGACGTCCGTGCTGACCTGAGGCTGGCCGAACTCAACATGGCGTCACCTTCAGCTCCACCCTCGGCCCTCGTCACCGCGCCGTCCAGCAAGCCGCCTGCTCCGTTCCCTGCTCCTCAGCGCCCTCCACAGCCTGCTGGGGGACAACAGCTCGGCCACACCCCTTCTCCTTCACGCCATCCTCAGGCTGCTGGGGGCCAGCAGTCCGGCAACGGCAATAACCGCGGACGACGTCGCCGCGGTGGACGCGGCCACGGAGGCGCCCAAGCCGGCACTCAAGCCGGTCCACCAAATGGCCAACAGTGGCCATCCTTCTTCAACCCATGGACCGGGTCCATCCAGATGTGGCCCGGGTCCAACCCAGGCGGCTCTCGCGGTCCACCACCACAGCAAGCTCTCATGGCCGGGGTGCCCCCGGGTTACTTCGCTCCTCCGCCGGTCCCCGGGGCATACTACCAGGCGCCCCAGCAGGCGCCCACCTCGCCGTCGCCCTGGACTACTGAGGGTCTCGCCAACGCTTTCAGCACCGTCACCCTCACTACGCCGTCAAGCACCTCGGATTGGGTCTTCGACTCGGGTGCTTCCTCTCACATAGTCGGCACTCCCGGTATGGTCACCATGTCACCAACCTCCTCCTTTCCTTCTTCAATTGTTGTGGGAAATAGCGCCACTCTTCCGGTTGTTGGCACCGGCTACTCAACCCTCCCTGGCCCATTTCGCCTCAACAATGTTCTCATTGCCCCTGACATTATTAGAAATCTCTTGTCAATTCGAAAATTCACCACTGATAATCTTGTTTCTGTCGAGTTCCACGGGCATGGTACAGCCGGTTTGCCTCCTTCCTGCTTTCTTTGGGTTTCAGTGAAGCAAAGTCCGATACATCCCTCTTCATACTTCGTCGTGGCACCGAGACAGTCTACTTGCTTCTCTATGTCGACGACATCGTCCTCACTGCCTCCTCCGAGCAGCTCCTGCATCGCCTGATTGCAGCACTCAAGAACGAGTTTGCCATGAAGGACCTTGGCCCCCTTCATCATTTCCTCGGTGTGGCAGTTCAGCGCCACAAGGATCACCTCACTCGTCACAACGTCAATACATCCTGGACATTCTTGCTCGCCATGGGATGAGCGACTGCAAGCCTTGCTCCACCCCTGTCGACACCTGTGCCAAAGTTCCTGCAGATGCCGGTCCTCCTGTTGTTGATCCCACTGCTTACCACAGCCTTGCAGGTGCACTCCAGTACCTGACTTTTACTCGACCCGACATTGCGTATGCTGTCCAGCAAATCTGCCTTCACATGCATGATCCCCGGGAAGTTCACCTTGTGGCTGCCAAGCGGATCCTTCGGTACCTTCAGGGCACCCTCAGCTTCGGTCTGATTATTCCTCGGTCTACTCCAACGCAACTTGTTGTGTATCTTGATCTTGATTGGGCGCGCTGCCCGACACTCGACGCTCCACCTCCGGCTATGCGGTCTTCCTCGGGGCGATCTCATCTCCTGGTCTTCCAAGCGGCAGCCCACTGTCTCTCGGTCGAGTGCCGAGGTCGAGTATCGGTTGTTGTTAACGGCGTTGTCAAGCATCTGGCTGCAGCAACTTCTACAGAGTTGCACCACCCTTTACTGATCGCCTCCCTCGCTCTCTGCGACAACGTCGGCGCCGTCTACCTCTCCTCCAACCCCATTCAAAGATCGCACACCAAGCATGTGGAAATCGACCTCCACTTCGTCCAGAAAACGCGTTGCTATTGGTGCTTGCTCGTGTGCTTCACGCTCCCACCACCTCACAGTTCGCGGATGTCTTCACCAAAGGGCTTCCGTCTTCGTGTTCATGGACTTTCGCTCCAATCAACGTTCGCTCCACCGACGCCCGGCTTGCGGGGTGTTAGAATTATTTGCTCCTTCTTTGTAATCTCCTAGCTAATCGTGCAGCGCCCGGCTATCACGCCCTTTCACACCTGCCGCCCCTTGGGCCATCCCCTCTCTCTCCTATATAAGTGTAATCCCTTATGTAATCTTTTATCAAGGAATATACAAAGCCTAATGGCCTTTGTCTAATAGGCCCCTTGCCGGAACCAAGCGCGCCGCCGCCGAAACAGCGGCCGTACACCGCGCCGGCCCGAGGCGAGGCGGCGGCAGATCCAGGTCCGTGGGGCCCAGATCGAACCGCCGGGCAGTCAAGCTCGCCATTGCCGGTGGAGAAGAGGCAGGGGACGTAGGCCGGGTTGGTGAAAGGTCCTAATATGGCTAGAGGGGGGGTGAATAGCCTATTTAAAAATCTACAAATCAACTAGAGCAATTTGATTAGTATGACAAATAGCGTAATGCAAACTTGCTTTAGCTCTACAAGGGTTGCAAGCCACCTATCCAACAATTCTAGTTGCAATGAATACTTAGGCACACAAACTAGCTATGTAATTACTCACTAAGAGCTCTCAACCTTGCTACTCTAAAGAGCTCAACTAGATGAATGTAAATAATAAAGCAAGCTCTCAATTCTAATTACACTAAAGAGCTTGTATCAACTAGTTTGCAAGAATGTAAATGAGTGAGTAGAGTGATTATACCGACGCGTGTGGGGATGAACCAATCACAAGATGAATATATAGCCAATCACCGGAGAATGATAAAGAAGAGAGACAATCGATTTTCTCCCGAGGTTCACGTGCTTGCCAACACGCTTACGTCCCTGTTGTGTCGACCAACACTTGGTGGTTCGCGGCTAAGAGGTGTTTCACAAACCTCGTCCACACGATTGGATACCACAAGAACCGACCCACAAGTGAGGTAACTCAATGACACGAGCAATTTACTAGAGTTACCTTTTCGGCACTCCGGCGGGAAGGTACAACTCCCTCACAATCACCGAAAGGCGACCACGAACAATCACCAACTCGTGCCGATCCTTCACCGCTTGCTCCAACTGTCTAGGTGGTGGCAACCACCAAGAGAAACAAGCGAAATCCATGCGCAACACGAATACCAAGTGCCTCTAGATGCAATCACTCAAGCAATGCACTTGGATTCTCTCCCAATGTCACAATGATGATGGATCAATGATGGAGATGAGTGGGAGGGCTTTGGCTAAGCTCACAAGGTTGCTATGTCAATGAAAATGTGCAAGAGTTTTCCCTTGAGCGGCCATGGGGCTATAAATAGAGCCCCCATCAAATAGAGCCGTTGTACCCTTTCACTTGGGCAAAACACGCTCGACCGGACGGGCCAGCCCTCGGCGTCCGTCCGTCTGGATGGACGCCACGCGTCACCACTTCAAACGCCGTTTCGTCGATTTCAACGGCTCTGGTGACCGGACGCTTCCGTCAAAAAATCGACCGGACGGCTGAAGCCCCAGCCGTCCGGTCGTTTCGATAAAGCTCCCGAGGCATGTTTTTTTTGATCGGACGCGTCCGTCCACACCTTAACCGGACGCAGAGACCGGTCGTCGTTGCTCAACCTCTACCATCAGGTTGTCGATACTCGGCCGACGCAGCCTTTTCGTCGTCCGGTCATTGAGTGACCCAAATATCCGGTCGATGAGACCGACGCCAAACATCATTTCGACCAACTCCATTTCAACTCTAACTTCTTCACCCTTGCTCAAATGTGCCAACCACCAAGAATTTTGCATCCGGCGCAATAGAGAATAGACATTTCATTTTCCAAAAGCGTTGAATCCCCCCTCATGCAAGCTCGGCGGGAGGGAGAGAGGGACCCAAACCCATCTCAACCCCGCAAACACCTTGTGCACATGTGTTAGCATATTTTCACAAATATTTTCAAGGGTGTTAGCACTCCACTAGATCCTAAATGCATATGCAATGAGTTAGAGCATCTAGTGGCACTTTGATAACCGCATTTCGATACGAGTTACACTCCTCTTAATAGTACGGCTATCTATCCTAAATGTGATCACACTCACTAAGTGTCTTGATCACTAAAACAAAATGGCTCCTACATTTTATACCTTTGCCTTGAGCCTTTTGTTTTTCTCTTTCTTCTTTTCCAAGTTCAAGCATTTGATCATCACCATGCTATCACCATTGTCATGATCTTCGTCATTGCTTCATCACTTGGAGTAGTGCTACCTATCTCATAAACATCTTGATAAACTAGGTTAGCACTTAGGGTTTCATTAATTAACCAAAACCAAACTAGAGCTTTCAGTTGGGGACGACGGATCCGGGCTGGTGGGGGGCGGATCTAGCCGCCGGCCGTCCAGAGCTCGCCGGAGAAGAGCAGGGTGAGGCAGGGAGAGAGGAGGGAGGAAGACTGGCGCGAGTGGCTCCCGTTTTTAGGTGCCGCCGCACGCCGGAGGGCGGTGGCGACCGCCGGAGAGGAGGCTCGGATGAGGGGGGGAGGAGCGGCGCCGGCGAGCTCCCCCCTAGACGGCCGTGGGGTGCTCGGGAGGGAGACGGACCCCAGATCTTGCTTCTTTCCGGCCTTATTCGTGCATCGTGTTTTCCCTTTTCATTACAAATATATTGAAGTGCTCTATTAGATTGAAGGATCACTTCCCAGATTCATTACAGTATATGATCCACTATTCTCACTTCATCCATATATGCTCATTTCTCTAGACCTGGTCACATCACCTCTTCAAATAAACTCTGAATGTATTTTTTCCCACATGAACTGCCACAAGATTAATTTCTTTCATTTTCAGGGAGTTTAATCTGGCACATGTCTTGCATTTTACCATTCTGCGCCTGACACGCCTGTCATATTTTTTTTATAAAAGAACTTATTAAATCTATTCCAGACATGATTACTGGTTTTTCTGTTATTTTTTAGATCTTCTGTTTTTCCTCCTGCAAGTTCTGAAATTTTCTTCTGATTTGTTAAGCATGTTCACAAATGGGATTAGTCCCCTTTTCTAAAACAGATAAAAGGCCTCCAGCCTATTATGAGCAAACTTGAATCCATTTTAGCCAACTTAACCTTGTTTGGGCACTTCTGCTTGGCCCCAGTCACCCCCCTTTCCATGGTACATTTATTTTAATACTTATTGAAAAGTAATGTTCAGAGGTGTGCAGAGGAGACTGGATCAATGACCTAAATGATAAAGTAAATTGGGTGTTAGGATAACCCTGACTTTTGCATTCCCACTTAGATTCCAAATTGTAAGTTTACAGTTGTATAAAATAATAAAACATTACAAATGTATATGCTGAAACCAATATTGAGTCTTACTCTTGTACTTTAGTATTTCGTTATTGAAGTCCTGATGTGAAGTTTTGACTTGTAATTTTGTTATACATTCAGGGACTTGGGAACACTCGGATATTACTGACGTGCCAAGACTTGAATTCAGAAGTAAATATTCAGTATGATTTTTCCAGTTAGTTGTTACATGCACTATGACTACCATCAATATGCCTCAAGATGATGCAAAGTTTTAACATTCATTCCACCCATCACTGTTTCTAATCATTGCAATATATTTTGCATATATTTGAAACCATTTTTTAGGGCTCAGTAGTATATGACTATATGTACCTGCATCTACTAGACTACTACAAGTGGTTTCTTGTTTTTTTCTAGTTACTGTACATTTCATGCAATTGCTTCTAGTGCCTAGAGGAGCCAAATAAATTGGAGATGTGTGGACTTGATCCTCATAAGCTTCACCGCCATGATCGTCTGCAGGATACAAATAAGACAGATCTTGTTAATATTCTTAAGGTAAATCATATTAAAATTGGAGGTTTTATACGCTTTAATATATGTTAGATATTGAAGATGTGTACCTGAATTGTTGTTATCTCTGCCAACATAAACATTTAGCACCGAGGGCAATTCTGTTTCTTTCTGGGAAACATACTGTTCAAACATGTTTAGATTTTCGTTGAATACAAGTTTAAAATGCCAGGTGGAAGTTAATCGTTTCAAATGCCTTTGATGTATCCATTTAAACATATCTTTTTATTAACTTATGTATCATATCTTTCTATTAACTTATGTATGTGCGACATATCTTTCAATTAACTTATGTATATGCAGGGGGCATTGTTTATTCAAATAAAGTCGTTTTGATGTCCTCAACGCATTCAAAAGATGCTCTTATTCAGGGTTCAAGACAAGGGCTGCAATCAGCATTAACCACACATAAGTAAATTAGCTTATTCTTTGTTTATCTATCCATAATTTTTCTCCCATTGGGCCTAAAAAATTGCTTGTCGCAAGTGGCACTTGATTTGCTGAGATTTTCTGAGATGCTTTAAATCCTTTCTAGGGAGAAGATATCGGTTGCTTCTTATGGATTGGATGGTGAACTTTGGGATCCATCCAAAGACATTTTCCTTCCTCGAAGGTATTCTGCCAATGATATTGAGGGGAAGTCCATTTGCAGACAAGCACTTAGGCGACGACTTTGGTTCAACAGTGATTCATCCATTATAGTATGTACATTGTTGTTCTGCGCATACATACTTCTGTTTGTCTAGTTACTACATTGAGTGTAACATCAGGTAAGCGCCATTTGTCAGGTAGGATGTATCTGTGATGATAATTCAGATATCCATAGTCTTAAAGAAGCAGTTCATGTTGCTCTGCGCAGGAATACTCAGGTGTGTGGTATACTACTTTGTTAGATACCTTCCTTGGGACTTAAACAGTTTATTTCTCTACTAGCACAGTTGCAAAGAGTTTATACTGTACAGGTCATCATCATGGAAAAGTTAGGGTCTATCGTGAACTCAACTTTGCGAGCATTAAAGGGAGAGATAATGGTATCGCTATTCTGTGTCTAACTTGTTTAGGCTTTCTACAATCATGGAACATCATGTGTTTAATGCAATTTCATTTGTTTATCATTTGTTCGGTTTATCAAACAGGGAGACAAAATAGCATTCGTTGAGGCATACGATGAAGCCCTAGCACATTTAATATATGCAGGATCTGATATCATTCTTTGCTCTTCCTTTCAAGATCCATCGCTGCAAACAGCGGTATGTGAAACCAGCCTTCTTTTTGCCTGAATTGTTTCAATACAATTATTAAACTAAGAGCTGTATGTAAAAAATGGGACCAACCTAGGAGGAGTTAGACGGTTTTTCGTTAGGAAGAAAATAAGCACCCAAATTTGAGTAGAAGAGGATTCAAACCTATTGTTGGGATGCATGACCACACCTCGCACCCTAACATGCATGTGCATTTTTTTTACAAAAAAAAGTAAAACAATATTTTTAGTGCACATATCCTTGTCCTTTGATTTTTTTTTTCTCGAACAGCGCAGGAGAACTGCGTGTCATTTCATTAAGGTAGAAAAATGTTACACGGGTCAAGAGACCTAACTCACACACACCACACCCTGAACACTAAGTTACAGACTCGCCACAAAAAACTGTAGAAGCGACCAAATGCCTCCGAGCTTTAAGCTCCAGTAGGCAGCGACCTGAGAACAAGCTCATGGAGTTTGGAGGCTCCAGCCGAGCACCAGAGACCTCCCTACGAGCTAACAGTCCTAATGACTTCCTGAACACTTGGTCTCTTGTTGTCAAAGACACAAGAGTTGTGATGCTTCCAGATCTCCCATGCCACCAAAATTATCAAGGAGTTGAGTCCTTTACGCACTTCCTTGGGGACAGCTGCAATCGATCTCTTCCACCACCCTGAGAAACGAGACACAGTAGGCTGTGGTGCCAACTGCAGCAGCCCCAACTGTTGCAAAATCAGGGTCCAAACTTGTCGAGCGAAGACACAGCCCACTAGCAAATGGTTTATTGTTTCGTCCACTTGATCACATAGGGGGCAGGGCTCTGGATGGGGCAGATTCCTCCTTGCTAGGCGATCGGCTGTCCAAACCTGGTTAAGAACCACTAACCAGATGAAAAACTTACAGCGCGGGGGAGCCCAGGTTTTCCAAATTCTTCTCCACGGACCGAACTTGATGGAGCCCACAAAAAAGGCCGCATAGGCAGACTTGCTGCTATAAGAACCATCCTGCGTTAACTTCCATTTATATCGGTCTGGAATCTCTGGTTGCAAAATAAAGCCATCCACCATATCCCAAATGTGGAGAAATTCAAGCAGGACCTCTACTGTATGAGCTCCCTTAATATCTTGAACCCAGCTTCTATTATGCAGTGCTTGAGCCACAGTCCTTTTGTTTGTTCGCTTCTGGACAGTTTTGAACAAGTTAGGCGCTATTTCAGCCATGGTATGCCCATCCAACCAGATATCTGTCCAGAACAAGATTTCCTCCCCATTTCTGACTATGGCATCAACTGCAACATTGAAAAGGGCCCTGGCTTTATGAGGAACAGTGATTGGGAGACCAGCCCAAGGCCTATCAGCATTTGTCTTTTGTGCCCACAGCCATCGAATCCTAAGTGCCCAGCCAAGAAGTTCAAGGTTATGAATCCCAAGGCCTCCATATTCAAGTGGTCTCTGCACTTTTTCCCACGCTACCAGGCAATTGCCACCATTGGCTTGTTGATGACCCTTCCAAAGAAATCCTCGCCTCTTTTAATCAATAGCTTTTAGAACCCATTTCGGGAGGTCCATGGCTATTAAAAGGTATATAGGGACAGCAGTCAGCACCACCTTCACCAATACTAGCCGCCCTGCCCTGTTCAGTAGAGAAGCCTTCCATCCAGGGAGATAATCTGCCACCTTATCAACTAGAGGTAGCAGCACCTCTTTAGTTGGTTTACCAATTGTTAGAGGGAGGCTGAGATACGTACAAGGAAAAGCCTTTATGGAACAGGAGAGGATATTTGCAGTGAGTGCCAACTCATCATCAGTACAATGAATAGGGGAAACTGAACTCTTGGACAGATTGGTTCTAAGACCGGAGGCATGTCCAAACAGATCAAGTAGGTGTCTAACAGTGACCAAATCCAAAATGTTGGGTCTCAAGAATAAGACCGCATCATCAGCATAGAAGGATACCCGGTGCCAAGCTTGCTGAATAGCTAGAGGCTGCATCAAACCCTTCAATGTGGCATAAATGACCAAGGAATTCAGCACATCCATAACTAGAATAAACAGCCTAAAGGACCAACAAGTTTCATTTGCATACAGTGATTTTATTCTGCATGCTGCTGTGTATATAAGTGTTTCAAATGGATCTTGCTGCTACATTTGTTTGCATAGGTTTTGTCAATTTAGCAAACACCACGAATCACTGAGTTAATATATTTCAGGACACACAAAATACAAAGCCTGTTGTGATTATTTTCCATCCCAATGCTGCGTCTCTTAGTAATGTTAAGTCTCCTTGTGTGCAGATGAAGGCAATAAAGTATGGATCTGTGCCAGTACAGATAAACTTTCCCAGCGATGAATCAAGGTAAATACCAAAAAACGCTTACTTGGCAATCCATCAGTTTGTCATGATTTAGATGAAATGTTTTTTTTTGTGTCCAAAGTTAGTCGAAACTCCGTTACTGACAGAAGCTTGAGTATGGACCAAAGTAGCATTTACATCAGTTGATTGACGGTTATGTTATGTATATGTTATTGCTTATGATTTCCATTTGTATGTACTTGTAACCAGGGAGTTGGAGGGGCATGATTGCCCAAATACAGCAATGTCTCAGTACATCATCTCAACCTATGGAGATCTGTCTCTTTCTCAAGCATTTGATGACTTCGTAAGTTTGCAATCTCAAGGGAGAATAGCTATCTTGTCAAGGGCTGTTTTGTGCACAGTCAATTATCTCTTAATAGATCAAATAATGTTCTGAACATCAGCATAGGTCAAAGTTGCAATCAGAAGGCCCTGGAAGCTGATTGCGTGAAATTATCTTATTTTCTGAAATTAGTTGCTTCTTGAATTTAACATAATTTACTTCCCAATGTGCAGAACAATGACCCTTCACATTGGGATCGGCAGATTAAGGATGGGATGGCTAGGGGTTCGTCATGGGACGTGAAGTGCTATAACCTTCATTGGGAGGCTTATTCCTCTATAAGGAAGCTGTGAACTGGGCATCTGCTAGAGAAGCACATGAGGCACCAGCTCCCCAAGTTAAGGGTACCATTTTTTTTTTGCATATAATTAGATTAACATTTAATTTCTTAGATGAGCATTTAATCAAGCTAAAGGTCAGTGAATAAACAAATGGTATGTAGAGCTGCTCTGGATTTCACAGTATTCTCCAATTTACTGTGGCAGTGAGTGTGCATTTTCTTGAGGAACAAACATGAACAGTGTCAGTGGACTTGACGCATATACTCATCATTCTGAACAAACAAACAGAGTAACTAGTGATCCATTTTAGAAAGGGTGAACAATATTTGCCGTCCCTTCTAATAAAAATACGGCAAAGCTTTTGCTGTCCCTTTGTTTTTTTTTCAAGGGTGAACAATATTCAGTTCCTAGTTCTTGGCTCTTCATCACGTGTGCAGCCTTTCACTGTTGCATCCAAAAGAATCCATACTTGAATCAATTTGCTAAAGTTATGGCACAAATAATATTATCTACAAGCTGTAAGTATATGTGCTGCCCTCTTCAAGATCCAGGACATCTTGCTGTCTGAACATGGAAGGAAGATCCCGTTGTTCCATGGGAAGCAAGGTCTGCCTCTCTTCCAGATTGCCATCAGCCTGAGCCCACGGGTGCTGCTGGTATCTCAGCCTCTCCAGCCTCTCAGCCGCCTCCTTCATCGTTGGCCGTTCCTCTCCACTCATGCTCAGGCATCGCATCACGAGGTGAGCAATTTCTTCAAGCACCTCGGCTCTCATCTCGTTCCTCACTTGGCTGTCAAGAAGCTCTTCATGCCGGCCAGCCTTCATTGCCGTCATGAAGCATGACACTAGGCTCCTGTCTTCCTCTGGCCCGTCGAAGTAGAGTGCCTTCTTTCTGGTCAGAAGCTCCAGCAGGATGACACCAAAGCTATACACGTCGCTCTTATCGGTTAGCTGGCATGTCATGAGGTACTCAGGGTCAAGGTACCCACAAGTCCCCTGCACCAATGTCGCAATCTCGGCCTCATCATCGGGCGCCAATTTCGACGCCCCGAAATCCGAAACTTTTGCGGTGAGCTTGTCGTCGAGCAGAATGTTGGCCGTCTTGACGTCTCCATGGAGGATCGGCGGCGAGGCAGGGTGTCAAGGGTTATATCAGCCTTGAGATCCTTATCGTGGATGTAGTGGTAGAGAGTGTCGTTGGAGACGAACTCGTAGACTAGCATGGGCACTTCTACTTCAAGGCAGCAGCCTAGCAGCTTGACGACGTTCCTGTGGTTGATCTGGGAGAGTATGAGCATCTCCCTCGCGAACTCCTTGGTCTGGGCCTCCTCCATCATCTTGGACCTCTTGATGGCCACCACCGTCTTGTCCTCGAGCACACCCTTGTAGACGATGCCGTGCCCGCCGCGGCTGAGGACACGGTCGGCGGCGAAGCTGTTGGTCGCCTTCTCCAGCTCATCCTCGGAGAATATCTTGAACCCACCCGCTCCAGCGCCGGCGCTGGTGTAGGAGCGCATCTGCTGCTGCAGGATGACGCCCCCGTTCTGCTCGAAGAACCTCTGCTTCGTTCTGATGAGCTTCCCCTTCTCGAGCCCCAGGTTGAGGCACACGCATAACAGTAATAAGACCACCCCAACGCCGAACCCTGAACATCACTGCATACTCATCAGTGTCCAGATAAGAAGCTGGCAAAATTTCCAAGCATAATTAATAAATTTAGTGTCGGCTCACAGGAACATGATGATGTGTCTGTGTACCTGTAACCACTTTAAGAGCTAGTGTGAACCTGTCCTTGGGCCGGCAACCGTTCTGCTTGTAGGCATCCCCATCGGTTCCCGGACGGCATTTGCAAGTGTAGTTTCCCGGCAGATTTGTGCAGTCTCCGTAGCATGGATACTCGTCTTTGCGGCGGCACTCATCGATGTCTGATCCGCATTTGCAAATGCAATTTGGTTTCATCATTGGGTAATACAAAATATATATATATATATATGATGCGCTCGTATATATGATATGGTCATGGAGATGGATGCATGTTTACCTCTGCATCCGCCGTCGAGGTAGGGGTTCCCCTCGTAGCCCTGCTTGCAGTTGCACCGGTAGCCGGCGCCGTTGGTGGAGGGGACGCACTCGCTGTTCCCACTCCGGCACACGTAGTCCGTCATGTTCTGCTGGGCGGCGCTGCAGTTGCCGACGTTCCGGACAGCACAGTCGAGCACCACGGGCGCGGCGAAGTCGTCGGTCCGGTTGAAGAACACGCGGTCGCTGTAGCTGAACCAGTCGGCGTCCGCCAGGAACACGTACTGGCACGTGGTGAAATTTCTGTCGAAGATGGGGTCCAGCTGCCCCCCACCCCCCCTGCAAGCTGAGCGTGTTGGGCTGGTAGTAGCTGACGCCGGGCGGTATGGCGCTCTGGCAGCACCCGACGCCGGTGCACGACCCCTGCCCCGCGATGGCGTACTGCGCCGGCCGGCACACGGACGTGCAGCCGCTGACGAAGTATTCGTCGCTGTCGACGAAGTAGCCGATGGTGGGGCAGCCGGTGGCGACGAGGCGGGTCTTGGTCGGGGAGACGCGGTAGGGGCTGGCCTCGCCGAGGGCCATGGTCGCGTCGTCGTTCTGGCCGACGAATCCCCTCGTGGTGGTGGTGTAGCACTTGCGCGTCGCGTTGAGGTAGATGCAGGCCTCGCCGGCGGCTAAGGACAGGCTGGCGAGCTGGTAGCCGCCGGTGGCGAGGCGGGGCGGGGAGCGGGCGTCGTCGCAGAGGAGCTGGAAGCCTCCGGTGCCGTCGTCGCGGTAGCACCCGGCGCCGATGCCGAATGGGTAGGGGACCGTGGGGTATGGACCCGGCATCGTAAGACAAGACATGGTCGCACCATTATAGATAATTCAGCCCATAATATTAAGACATGCACGGCACTATTTAACGTGCACCATAAAATATTGTATAGTACTAAATATGATATTTCCTCATAATCCTACCTCTCCAGAGTATACAAGGAGAGGCAGGGGTCCCCTAATGAACATCGATATAGCTACATGAACATACATTTCAATACAATACGACAAAGACACAGAACGTAGGTGTCGGGTTCATAAACCTGGGGTCCCTCGGGGACCGGCTTCCACGCCAAGGCTCGACCCGAGAGTCTAAAAAACAACAGGGCAAAGGGGCGGTCCAGCAACCGATCAGAAGGTCTGGCCCAAGAAGAGCAACGCCCGCTCATTAACTACTTCGGCCCATCTATCCGACCGGAGCGCTCGCTTCGGGCTCCAGCCGCCTCCGGACGGCCTCTCTGATCGGAAGGCCAGCCCCGAGCCCTATTTCCGACTCCGACCCCACGTCTCTCCGACCCGGGGTACATAAGAACCCTGCTCGCCGCTCTTCTCCGACCGGCGCAACCGAAGCCGACTGGGGCCATCCGACCGGGGACGCCCGCTCGGGAGGGACCAGGGACGAACGGAGAAAGCAGCACGTGAGTCAAACCACGGTACAGGGACCATACCCTGTACACATGCGGGAACAGTGTTCCACAACCACCCTGACACAAATAGTATTGCAGGCGCCGACATTTATCCCTAAAGTATTGTAGGCGCCGTTGGACTCCCGTACGGCAAAAAGCCCCTCACATGCCTCTGGGCATCAATAGTGTTGTAGGCGCCGGGATTCACCATACCCGGTAAACGTGGTGAGACTCCTCACATGCCTCTAGGCATCCAACAGTATTTTGCAGGTACCGACGTCAACCCTTCCTGAAGAAGACAACGCAACCTCCCACGTGCACCTGACATTCTATAGTGACATCAACAATGTTGTGGGCGCTTACCATTATCCAATCCTTATCGGCGTGGGCAACAAGGCTTAAAGGCATCCGTACCCTTTCCCTCTCACTTGTAAAGCCATCCCCTTCATCTATAAAAGGGGATGCACTCCCTCTAACAGGAGGATGGATTTTTATTCAAGCTCAGTTCCTTTAGATTCATTAATCCAATAGCTCACAACCACAGAACCGTCATATTCGGATCTTAAGCACACGCTTGAACACTTAGCTCATAGCGGAGTTCCCGTCGCTCTTGGCCCTTCCGACCGGAGCCGACCGGGCCTGTGGTACCCCCATCTTTCTCCTTCTCGTTTGTAACCCCACTATAGACTTCGAGCACCTGGGCTCAGGAATAAAGTCACCGACCGACCCAAACTGGACGTAGGCCACCTCCGATCACAACGTACAGCAAAACTACAAATATTCACTAGTTGGTCACTTTCTGTACCGACAGTTGGCGCCGTCCGTGGGGAAGACGATGTACGTTCAACACTTTTTGGTCATCGGATGGCCCATTTTTCCGCCAACCTCGCCGTGGCGGGCTTGGGCGATACGATTCACTCCGGCTCGCTGGAATCTCCTGTACCCTCGCCTGCTGGGATGCGGGTTCCACCCATTTTCGAGCCATCCTATGCCTTCCTCTTCGGAAGCCTGGACTTCGTCGCCGACCGGCTCGGCGCACTCCACCTCCACGAGGAGACTCGCGACCCGGCATCCGTCGGAGAGACGTCCTCCATCGACTCCGGGACGTGCGACTTCGACGACGTGGCATCCGCGCTTCATTCCGAGCAAACTCTCTGCTCAACCCCCGCTGTGAGTAATATACATGTTGTTATTTACTTACTACGTTCTATCTTCTGCCAAATACCCGGAGGGTTGCCGTTGTCCCCGTCGCTGCCACCGTACGACCGGTTCCTCTACGGCCTCGTGTCTCCTTCGGACGCATGCGCCCGGTTGCTCCAAAAGATTATGGCACCGCCCCCTCTCACGTCTGAGTTCGTAGGGATGGTGAGCTATGCTCCCACCTGTTTCCTCAACATCATGGATGACGACGTCGGGAGTGATGGCTCCAGCATCGGTGACGTGGCACCTAGCCACCGCCCGTCCTACGAGTGTCCTATGGCGGACGCTCCGGAGCAACCGCCAGGGGTAACGGAGTCCTCACGGACTCACGCCCCTCCGGGCCCTTATGCGGAGACCCCCGGGCTCACACGTGAGCACGGGGAGGATCTACGACGACAGTGGCCACATCTGCCATCGACAGCACCAGCGCGCTCAGTGACCACATTGCGTCCCGTGCGCATAGACCGGCGAACGGCGCTTGGGGTCACGCCCGTTAGGTCCAGCGCAACACCCCGGTTAGGGGGACCGATCCCCCGCAGTTCGCTCGGGCCAGTTAGAACATTGCCGCCGCGGCAATGCTCCTACGCGTCCTGTCCGAGCCAAACTACCCTCGCGAACGGGCGATCCACCAGAACCTCCGGGCACTGCTGGAGACCGCCGTCGTTCAACAAGCAGAGTGCTCCGTATCATGATGCTGACTCACGACCTCGTTCCCCGTCCAGGGAACAGGGACACAACAGATGGGGCACTACACCCTATCACCGCAACAACCGCTGAGCGCGGCACATGAGGCCACAACGGCACCTCGTCTTGACCTGACGACTGCTCCGCACCAACCGCCTATCCACACGTGGCTCGGACCAAACCGAGGCACATGCAGCGGCAACCGGAGTCCCAGCACTAACGGCCCGGGACCACCAACCTTTGCCCAACTCCCCCAGCAAGCACCGTTCTCACCGCGCTTCAACAGAGGCCACGACAAAGGTAAGGCCAAGCGCCAAGATCAAGACGTGGGTCCCTCCACGTAGAGGGAAAAAGATCAGAAAGGATCGTCGCCGATTGGCCAACTCTGCGTTGGTCGCCGCGGCGGATCACGCGGGCACTCAGCCCCAGCAAGACCCTCCAGGCCACTTTCACGAGCTCATGGAGAGCCCGTGCACCAACCACGACTATCCCGTCAAACATTTCTACAAGGACTGCCAGCTCCTCAAGCGCCTGCTGAGGTAGACTGTCATGCCAAGGAAAGAAAAAGGCGAAGAGGCCGCAATCGAAGAAGGGGGCGCAGCGGGCAAGGATCCAGACGACTGAAGGATGAAGTGATCCGACCGGACGCCTACCGATTGAAGGACAACAACGACGACGCTCTCTCCGAGCACCTTGGAACAGCTATGTCATTTTTTCTTCCCCTAAGTTTCAGTTTTACCATTATTTACTTAGCGTACGCTCCTGTAAAAACACCTCGACCCGAACACTTTTCGGCTTGGGGCGCTTGGGGGCTCCACTAGGGGGCACTACTACCTCTCTGTTTTGTTTACTGTCATGTGGAGAAATTCCTTCCTACCCTAACAAAGGGGTGGTTCATTCCTTTAATTTACCTTATGTATCTTTGATTTAAAAATTCTGACCGATCGCACCCCACCTTTTCCTACGGTTACAGGCAGCTGAGCCTCGTGGGCCATGCCCCGGGCTCTCAAGGTTGCAGCCTATGGGACAAATGGGCAGGTACGAGAAAGAAAGAAATAAAAAACAAAGTTATGCTAAGGGAAAGCTAAGGAACGAAAGGGAACAAGCTTCCCCGAACGGAGTGACTCCATCACAGAAAACAAAATACCATTATAACCGTTAAGCACACAGAAACGTCTACACAGGGGCTCCCCCACAAACTTAAACTTTTTTACATTAACTAAACTACTTATATCCTACAAGCTATTGAATCGACCCGACTGCATCTGCTGGCGGCACGACCGACGAAGACGCAGGCTGCTCACTCCCCGGCGGCACGACGTTCGGCTCGATCGGAGCCAAGGCGACGTCCCCCCCCGAACCAGGCTCCGTGCTATTCGTAGGCTCGGAAGCATCCTCCCCACGCATGCTTCAGGCCATGTCTTCACGGCGAACATCCATCACCCACTCGACAGAGACTTGCTCCGACACCGACCACGCGTGCGGCAGCAAGCTCTCCCCGATCGATTGGATGTCCCCCATGCTCAGGCCTTCAGCATACCCGCTGTAGATAGTGGCGAAGTCTAGATTCGGGTGGTGCATCGCCACCGAGGTCAGCACCCCCGACGCTCCGTAAAACAGCCCGCTCCTGACAAGGTCCTTGACCGCGTCCGGGACCTCCGCCAACTGGACAGCAGGCGCGCTAGTGCTTGGCACCGACCCAAAGACTTTCGAGACGATGAGCTGGGCAACGTTGCGGATCTGGTCAAGGCCCCCCTCAAGAGCACGTCGCTCTTCATGGGACTTGGCCAGCTCCTCCGCATTCCGGCTGAGGGTCGCCTTGGTCGTCTCCAGGTCCTGCTCCAGCGTCTTCACCTTTCCATCCAGCTCTGAAGGAGGGGCGACAAGCTCAGGAATAGCCTGAAGAAAGAAACCAACACAACAAAAAACAAGAAAGGGTACGTACCAGCGCGAGAGTTCTCAAGGGCGGAGAATTCCTCTGCCTGTCGAGTCACCTGCGCGCACAGCCGGGTGTTCGCCTCCTCCGTCCCCATCACCCGGCCTCGGAGCACGAGCACCTCCTGGTCCGCCTCCGACCGGGCCCTCCGCTCTGCCTCCAGGGCCATCCGCGCCGACTCTAGGGCGGCCCGCTCCGACGCCAAAGCACTCCGCTCTGGCTCAAGGGCTGCCAAGGCCTCTTGAAACGCCGCCTCGGTGCTCGCCAGGGATGCCCGCAACCCCGCCTCAGTCTCCGCCTGGCGGGCTTTCGTCGCCTCG